AGCTCTCGTTCCTCGTCCCGGTTTAGCTCGGCAAAGATGATCACTGGCTTTTTCTTCTCATCATCAAGGAAAACGTACTTGAGGTGTCGGGGAAGCTCCTTAAGCTCTAGTGGAGATGGGATTGTTGCACGGGACTCCTCGACTTCATAGAGCTCTACCGTTGGCCCTTCGTCATCCTCCAAATCGGGCATCAACCTTTCTTCAAACTCCCGAACCTCCATCTCCTCAACGAACGGGTCCATCACATCGATAAAGGCGCACTCCTCCACAAAGTTCACGGAGGGTGCGGAAGTGGCCTCCCGAACAGAAATAGATACGGACTCGCCTAAGACTGTCATGTTCAACGTACCGTGTTTCACATCTATGAGGGTGTTGGTGGTGGCCATGAATGGTCTGCCTAGAAGGATGGTGTGGTCCTTCCCGTTCTCCTACACGTCCCCCACATCTAGGACCACGAAGTCTACCGGGACGATAAGCTTTCCCACGCGAACAAGAATATCCTCTATGATTCCCTTGGGGTATCTGATTGATCGGTCGGCAAGCTGTAGACACATCCGAGTTGGCCTCAAATCTCCGAGGCCGAGCCGCTGGTAGATGGAGAATGGCATGAGATTTATCCCCGCTCCGAGGTCTAGCATCCCCGAAGCCTCCTTCCCATTCCCGAGGGCAATTTTGATGACGAAACCCCCGGGATCACGTTCTTTCTTCGGCAGGTCGTGCTGCATTGCGCTTGCCGCCTCATAGACCACTACCTTTTCTCCGTCCTCGAACCTCCTCTTCTTAGTGACCAAGTCCTTGAAAAACTTGACGTAGGATGGCATGTTCTTTATCACATCAAGCAGCGGCAAATTCACATTGACCTTTGAGAGCATGGTGTAAAGGTCTCGAAATTGCTTCTCCTGCTTCTCATCCCGAAGCCGGCTCGGAAAAGGTATGCGTGGCTTATATGGATTTGGGGATTTGTGCAACAGTGGGCCATCCGCCGGTTTCTCTGAATCCGCTTCCTTGGAATTTCCAATATTCTCTTCTGCCTCTTTAGTCAGTTCAAGCTCCTCGGACTGATCCGACGGGCCTGGCATCTTTACCCGGTTATCGACCACTTTCCCGCTTCTCAACACTGTGATTGCCTGGGCCTCCTTAGGTTGGCTAGGCAACTTTCCCTTGTCTGCTTCAGACTCGATATTGCCCACCCGAGTAGCCAGCTGGCCCACTTGGGTCTCCAAGCGTTTGATCGATGAGTCCTGGTTGGTGATAAACTGGAGGATTTTATCTAGCTTGTCGTCCTGACTAGACGAACTCGAACCGGACCCTTGGGCTTGCTGTTGTGGTTGCTGTTGCTGTTGCTGTTGGTAGCTCGGACGGGGAATGAAGTTGGGACGGTTTTGCTGTTGCATGAAGTTTGGGCGGGGTTGCTGTTGGTTGAAGTTCGGACGAGGTGGCTGGAGAGTATTGTTGTTGTTGGACCACGAGAGATTTGGGTGATTTCTCCACCCAGGGTTGTATGTGTTGGAGTAGGGGTCATTGGTTTGCCGGTTTTGATAACCTTGAAGGGCGTTGACGTCAGTATATTGTTCTCCTACCTCCTGGTCAAACGCCGATGGGCACACCTCGGATCTATGCCCCTGAACTCCACATGCTCCACATGTGTCTACTTCCATGGTATGCATGGACTGGCCTCCTCGTGCATTCATTAGCCGCATTTGCTCGGTGAGCTCGGCTATTTGCTGGGCCATCATATCTTGAGCAGAAGATACCTCGTTGACCACAACCCTTTTTCCTCGATTGCTCTTTTGAGACGAATTAGCACTCATCGTCTCAAAAATCTCATACATCTCTTCGGCTGTCTTCGCACCGATGTCTCCCCCTGCAGCGTTGTCAACCATGTATTGCAAATTCTGGTTGAGGGAGTCGTAGAAGCAATTCATTAGTAGTCCCGGTGAAAGATTGTGGTGGGGACACTGTCGCTGGAGATCCTTGAATCGCTCCCAGGCCTCGTGAAGAGGCTCATTCGGTAGTTGGGCAAACGAGACGATCTGTGACCGGAGCTCCTGAGTCTTCTGATGGGAGTAGTACCTCCCAATAAACTTCGTGTAAACCTCGGTCCAGGTGGTCAGAGATGCTGGTGCAAGTGTCATGAACCAGGCCTTGGCCCGGTCTTTCAATGTCTCGGGGAAGCACCTCATCTTCAACTGATCCTCATTCAGCCCGTTCAGTGGGAAGGTGTTCAGGACATTGTAGAATTCCCGGATGAAGTTAAGCGGGTCTTCGCTCGGGAGTCCATGGAATGCCGGCAGCTGGTTGTAATGAATCATTTTTAGCTCATAATTCCGTGCGGGCTCGGGTAAACAGATACACGAAGTGACTGGCCCGATAACCGGTTGGGCCAAGGTTCGGAGGGTGTTTCGAGGCGGTGGTTGCTGTTGCTCATCCATGTTGACGTTACTGCCTTCTGACGATTTCGGGGAGTGCTCGTCTCTTTCGTTAGATTCGAGAGTAAGCTCTTCCAGCAGCTCCCTCAGGCTCTCGTTCACTGATTTGTTGATCGGAGATAGCAATTTGCGTCCACTCCTGGTACGCATACACTAAGACCAACAAGGGTTACGAGCACCAATGATAAGAAAAGAAAATAAAAATAAACAAGAACTAACACCTAACAAATAAAAAGAAATCAAGAGAAACACGGAAACAAGAAAAATCACAAGAAATAAGAGAAATACTCAAAACAAATTGAATAGGCGCACAAAATAAATCCTAAACCCTCCCCGGCAACGGCGCCATTTTGTTGTAGTTCTTTTTACCGGAGTTAAATCAAAAGATTCGAACACCGGGTCGTGTCTCAAGGAAGGTTAGCCGGATTGTTTTGTACGATTATTCAAGCACAGAAATGGAAAATAAAAGAAGTGAAAATCCTAAACATTCTAAATCAAGTTTGGAGATTTGATTATCGTCTACTAATTTGAAAAGCAAGTGATTGAACAGGGCAAGCAAACTAGGAATCACAAATTTAATATATAAAGAAGGAGCTAGGGTATCGGGGTCGATCAATTCCGGTTCTCAAAACACTTAACGAGTAATCAAGAGCTCGGTTGAACGCTTCGCTAAACTACTCACCTAGAGGTCTATCCTCAATAACTCTTCGTAACAAGAGGATAGACATAAATAAGCAATTCTTGAAGCAATCAACACATAAGCTATACTATTACGAACAAGCTTATTCCTAACGAACCTAGATCGAACGATTTCTCCCTTTTCAGTTTTAAAATCGATTAGATAGATCAAGATGGTGATCAATCATCAAAACCCTAAATTAAGCACAACTCGAGAGGATGGAGCAAATATCATGCACATAAATAAAATCAAACCGGAACGATCTTCCCTTAACCCTAGCTAAAGGATTTAGCTACTCATAATGCATTCAACTTCAACACTTATGATAATCAAAGCCATTCAATCAATAAGAAGATGAAACGAAAGCTTACGATTTAATAATTCAATGTTGAATACACGAATAACTGAATCCACAAGCTTAATCTTGGTGTTTTCACAATCCTAGATCAAATCCCATGAAGAACTAAGAGAAAAACTGTTTTGGAGAGAATAATAATGAGAGAAAATCTAAACCTAGGTGAAAGTCGATGATAAACTGATCAAAAAAACGGAACTTAAAAATCTGCTGTCGCGACCTCCGCGGCCGCGACTTAGACCTCCGCGGCCGCGGCGAACAACATCTCGCGGCCGCGACTTCCTCCGCGGCCGCGACCTCCCCGAGCCAGAAATTGGAATTTGCGTGCACCTCGCGGCCGCGACCTCCTCTTCTCCGCGGCCGCGGCGAAGAATTTCTGAACTTTGGTTTTCGGGTTCGTCTTCTCTCGTCAGGACTCGGAATTTGATCCCGTCTTCTCCAACACGACCCCAACTCATCCAACTAGACAGTAGACTTCGCGTAGTCATACACCGATCCACCAAACCTGCACATCACCACCGACAAGAAATACGGAAAACCGGGGAAAACGAACAAAAAGACCAAAAACGACTAAAACAAAGGATAAGTACGAGACGACTCGAAACGGACCAAAAACCAAAGAAAAATACCTAAGTAGGGGAAAAAACAAGCATGAAATAAACAAAGAAAACATGACAAAAGTGGAACGAACAATATGTGTTGCAGAAGATGCTCAACTCCTGTAGTTCATTCAGAAGTGAATAAGGTGGAGTAAAAATCGGCACAATGTTCAGCAATTGATTCCTGGCTGTCACAAGTGGCTCCAGAAGTAGTAAGCAGTTTATGAATTGCATTAGATTTTCTCCTCTGGCTGGTATAAATATGGAAGAACCTTGTGTTTGAGTCCCCTTCTTTCAGCCACATTGCCCTCGATTTCACTCTCCAATATTGCTCTTCAGCCTTGTGGGCTTCATCTAATTTGGTCTTCAAGTCACCCCATCCCTCCCAGTCTCTAAATTGACCAGCCTTTCTCATCTCTTCCAGTTTGCCTGTGAGCTCATGAATAGTTTTTTCATTATGTTTGTGCAGAGGTTTGTACCAAGACAGCAAATCCATCCTAGTACTCTTGAGTTTTTGATGCACCTGAAACATACTAGAGCCTTCAACAGAGATATTCAACCCTTCCTTCACAACTTCTTGAATCCCTTCCATCTTGATCCATAGTTTATCAAATAGAAATCTCTTTCTTATTCTAGAAACAACTATATCTGTTTTAATTAACATGACATTATAATTTGAGGGCTGTTTTATAGAAGTTAGAGACCTCCATATTAGGGAACATCATCTGCCAATCCCAACTGAATACCTTATCCAGCCTCTCCTCTACATACCCATCTGAGGTTCTATTATTGCCCCGTAAAGAAAGCCTCTTTCTGCTCCATTTCCTGCATCTCCATGTCTGTGATGAAATGACTAAATCCCTGAAAACTAGATTCCAGCCTTCTTTGCCCTCCCCTTTTCTCCTCATTACTGGTAAGATCATTCCAGTCACCTGCTATTAGCCAGCAAGTTCCCCATTTGTGTTTGCTATCCACCAAAAACTTCCATTGCCTCTCTCTGGTTGGTTTATCTGTGCTCATATAAACAAATATCATCCAGCTCCAATCTCTACACCCTCCACTCTTCACTTCCATCTGAATACAGAATTCATTCCCCACATAACTAACAACCCACCTCTAGTACCAGTAGGCTGCTCCAAGTGCCATCTATTATCATAGCCCAACTTCCTACAAACTTTTCTGGTAAAGTCAATAGATTTTTGGTCTCAGATAAAAAAATAACATTAGGGTGGTGGACTCTTCTTGAGTCCTTGATCTGGGAAACTATACAGGGCCCACCCAGCCCTCTACAGTTCCACACCATATCCTTCATTTGTCACCTTGGGGCCATTTGAGGGTGGCCTCTCCACCTTTGTCTCCACACTAGAATCTTTCCTTCTCTTATCTCTTAAGCCCTCTTCTTTGTTAGTTGGATCCTCTGAAATTAATACAATTTCCCTGTTTCTCTTCAATGACTGTTGGGGTGATGACTGATAAGGATTCACAAGGTTGCTATGAATCTGCACCTGGTTCTGAACCTCCATCCTCACAAGTCTACCTTCAGTAGCAGCTCTTCTTTTCCAAGTGGTGGCTATCCTTGTACCCTTACCAACCTTCGTAGTTGGGTGCTTTTCCAGTGCTTTGTTCTCTATCAATTGGCCAGCTGAGGATTCCACATCCATATCCTTCTCTGCCCCTTTGTCTGCCATCTGGGAAGATTCTGCTACAGGAACTAACTCCAAACCCCCCACCTCCTCACTTTCATTTGCATCCTCCATATTATCTCCTTCTTGGGTCACAGTGTTTGTAGCATTTGGATCCCTAGTGAGAGGGTGGTCTTGTTCAGAAATAGCATTAGCTGACACCAGAGATTCATTGTGAAAATGCTGCTAGGTCTGACTATCTTTCTCTTCTGAGCTGCTAGCTTGGCTGTATCTCCCCCCATGGTAGGTTTCTTTGGCCTTCAGCCACTCCCCATGTTGCCCTTCCACCACTGCTTGTTTCTCAATATCCTCTGCTCTATTAGAACATGCCCTATCTAGATGCCCAATCCTTCCACAGTAATAGCATAGGTTAACTAACCTTTCATATTTGAATTCCACCAAAACTCTGAGAGGTCCAAGTTTAACTGATGTGCATCTGGGAATAGGTTCTTTCAAATTCAAAGAGACCAAGAGTTTTAAAAAACTACCTTGTTCACTACCCATTTTGCAGATAACCACATTTTTAACACCATTAAATATCTGTCCAATCCGCATCCCAACTTCTGTACTCATCCAATGAAGTGGGATATTAAGTACTTGGACCCAAATGAGTAGTTCCTCAAAACATTTATGCGAGCTGTTCATACCTGGAAACCACTCCTTCAAAATGAGGTATTGGTTCTCATACAGCCAGTTATGCCCCGCTGCCACTTTCCTTTTATCATCTTGAGAAGAGAATATAAATTGGAAGAAGTTGGAGCTGATTTCTTTAACTTCCATGGCATGCTGGAGTTTCCATATTGCGCTCATGGTACGTTTAACCCCCATAATCCCCGCCGGTCTATCCCCAACAATGTTGCCGAAGAGACTTCTATTACATTCTTCTTCACTATTTTTCACATCATCTTGTTGAAGCTCAATGTCCCTAGCTTCTTTTGCAGAAAGAGATATAGCGTGCAATTTCCTCATCACATCTTCACCCAGGTCACTAATGGATGTTCTTCTCGAAGATCTATCCCCCATTTCTGCGCACGCCAGTCGAGCCCTAATTAGATAAGAACCCTAATTAACAATACCAAATACCCTCGCCAATCACCAGCTGCCTTCCTAACTACAAAATACCAGATCACTCGATCAGAATTCAGCACACTTCACCGAAGGAATTACGCTCCCACCAGAAGAATTTTGCTCCCACCTGAGAGAATCCGATGATTTGGAATGTCAATATTGATCTAATATTGTCGAACATTTGAAAAAAAAAAACAAACAAACCGATTGAATTGTCGTTCCAAAACATACTAAACTTGAATCGCCATAATTGGCTTTTTTTCAGTTAATTGAAATAACCAAAATAATTAAAGTAAATTATATTATTTATCATAAAATCATGTTTAGTATATAATATTTTATATTACGTCTAATGTGATGTTAAAATAATATATTATGTAGCGAAATATAATGTGCAATCTTATAGTCATTAATATGCAACTCCTAATACGGAAATGTGCAATTGCATGGCATTATTTTTTTAATACTTGACTAAAACAAATTAAAACATGACTGGAATAATTGTTTTATTAGTACGATTAACCAAATTAATACATCGTGACTATTGAATCGGATGATCTAATAAAAATATAATTTGTTTTGGACAATAAAACAATTATATATTTTGGTTTATTTAATAGAAATATAATTAGTATTTATAATTTATGTATTTAATATTTTTATATTATTAATTTAATTAACATTATCGTGCATTTGTTATGATACGGTGAAATCTCACTAACAGAAAAGTGCAACACGTCAGTCAATAATGTGCAATATGTTCAATAATGTTTTAATATTATATTTAGTATTTATAATTTTTGTATTTAATTTTTTATAATATTATTTTGATTAACATTACCCTGCAATTGTTATGATAAGGTGCAATCTCACTAACACAAAAGTGCAACACGTAAGTCAATAATGTGCAATATGTTTAATAATATTTTAATATTATATTTAGTATTTATAATTTATGTATTTAATATTTTATATTATCAATTTAATTAACATTACCGTGCATTTGTTATGATAAGGTGCAATCTCATTACCACAAAAGTGCAACACGTCAGTCAATAATGTGCAATATGTTCAATAATATTTTAATATTATATATTATTTTTTATTTAACCTTTTTGTTTATTGTGTTATATATTTAAAAGATATATAATAATAGTATTTATATACTTTTTGTAAATTGTAATTTGACCCATGGGTTAAATTTAAATATAAACAAAATTATTAAATTTACAATTAGATCCCTAAACATAACCTAATTCTCCAAATAAAACCCCTAAAACTAATGGACATAAAGCCAGATTCAGCCCACTTCTTCATCTCCACCATCGCTCCCGTCGGCGAGGGCACCGTTCAAAGCTCTCCACCTTGCAGCTCCTCTAAACGAAGGCGGAGGTCGTCGGAGATGAGTATGGTCGGCGACAAAGGCCGACTGTTGAGACGAAGCGACGATTGACCGCCAACGGAAGGTCGCCGGAGATGAATGATGACGGCCGTCTAAGATGCGGCG